CCCTTCCTCCCTTTCTCCCTATTATCTCAAAGGCGAGAACGGCGAACGTGTAGAGAGGATTGTGCGGAAAAGCCTTCTTCGTGAGATCGATTTGCCCGATGGTTGGCACGGTGGAGGAAGCGGCCGTTCGTATCATACTTTGGCAACAAATGAATTTCCTTCCACTCTGAGCCCGCACTGTCAATACGTCGTAGGCCCTGAAACGACGCCTATGGGTCAACCTAGTTTTAGAAGACTGGGGCTTGATGAGACTCCTTACCACATTTCGGTTGTCAAGGAGTTTGCTAATTTGCCTGTTTGGGCAAAAACGTAAAAAGGACACCAAATTGGAAACTCAACATTAGACAGATCTGATTTTATCGTTCTGGGTATTTTATATCGAGAGTCACAACGCGTTTGTTCAAGTAGCAGTGCAATTTGAAATACTTCACTCACTTTACGACCAAATCATGAGGGTCTCTTCCTACAGCGGCAGTCAAGTCATCACCTAGAGAAAGGGGAAGAAAGAGAAAGGAGAAGGACAAAACAATTGAACAGTCTCACCCTGACTTACAAGATGCACTTTAAAGGCATTCAAAACACAAAAGCACAAAAATGGCAGGATTAACAGGCTACAAAGTGCTCAAAGCTGTGTTCGAAGTCCTTTATGACTATCATATAGCGCCACAGATGAATGCATGCTTGGACAACTCGGAAATGTAGAAGCTCATGACGCGTGCCACCTGTGACCCAGACCAGATCTTAGAAGTCCGCAGTCACTTCCTGAGATGATGGCCTGATCCACCAATTCTCGACTCTATCCCCGCTCATTTTGGAAAGAAAATCAATTCGGGGAATATAAGTGGCTTTAAAAAAATTATAGCTCTTGATTTTAGCCCTTATAGCCCGGTTTACGCACTTCGCTATCAGGACAGCGACAGAGCACACAGGGATTTGCACAGCCAAGGACTAAGTCTGTTAATTAAAGTGATTCATTTCAGCACTTTTTCCTCGCGTCAAGTTTGAAGTCTTATCACTTCAGCTCTCTGATGATATGACCGATAAATGTCGTTCATGCATAAAAATTACGACTTGTGATTAGTAATGGATTGGTCGGTGAGACCACCACTTCATGTCTCTTTCTCTCCCAAAAACTGATTGTGGGCTTTCCGAGTGACCTTTACAATAACGAACAAGAACGGACGAGAAGCGACAAAGGACGCCCCTGACAGTGGGGAGCGTTAGTTTTTTTTACTGGACTTGAGAGGATGAGACCCAGCTATATATAAGGAACACTGATTGAGGCGAAGCTCGGGAAAAAGGAATGATTGCTGTTGGTATCCGGCGCATACTGTCGTCATTCACTTTTGTTGATCACGAAAGGTCATTGAAATGTAAACTTTCATTTCTTCTTCTACGAAAGGCTTTATTTAATCTTAAGTTCTCGCTGGATCTTTAACAGTAATCTCAGATTTCTCGGCCAAATATCATGTACGGTACGATATCTGTCCAAGATACTCTGTGGACCACTGATGTCACAAAGTCGCTCTCCTTCACGTCTGTGAAGACAATGATAATATCTCCATCTTCCTCCATATGTAATGTCATATTCTGGTACATGTTTGCCTTCATTTGCGGAAACATGAATGGAAAGGAGTAGGGCTTAAGTCCGAGTTTCATATCAACAGCGACCATATGGTAATATACATTTCATACTTCACCACTGCCTGGTAGATCCACTGTTGAGTAAGACTCAGACAGGAACCATGTATCGCCATTGTACTGGACACCATTGCTTGTTCTCCTGAAGAATGAAAAGCTCCTTGGCATTTCCTTACTAGTATGTACTTCGCATGTTTCCCTGACAAAATTGCCTATCTGCATCGGAAACCATTTTTTAAGGCACAGACCTCCATCCACGTTTGATAGACTAAAAGGTGCTGCTCCCTGTAGCCTCTCCGAGAGCGAAGTGATAGAGACAAGATTTTCAGTTGTATCTTTGGCGTCGCCGGCAGAAGTCCTACTATCACTTTCACCAGAACTTGAGTATCTGCATTCTGTTCCAGCACTATTATTGAGCACCGAATGCCAAGGGGCGGCAAGGCGTCGTAGTGGGTGCAGCGGATGGGCCGGCTTTCCACAAAGCCATTGAGGGTCGTTTGGGAAATCCGCAGGGGCAGACTATCCTGGTACTTGCGCGGAGGTGGGTGCACTGAGGAGGTAGGGTGATAAAGCATCGCCCACTGGAGCGAGAGGCGAGCGATAAAGAACAGTGGGGCGGACAGGTAAGAAATAAACAGGATAGCATGCAAAGCTATTGAATACGCCCCTCGCATAATCGCATGCTTACCTCGTGCGCGCCGTGACAAAAGAGGAAAGGTGGGCGGCTTTGCGTGGTCCGCAATATCTCCCTCCCCAATCGCAGGGCCTCCAAGTGCTTGCGCGTGAAAGAAACTCGGCCGGGCAGAGGGAGCCAGCCAACCCCCTGCACCATCCCATATTTGGCCCCGGCCTTTTCAGCCTGCACTGGGACGGCTTTACTCGCTAGGATGCTTGGGAGACAGTCCGTCGCTTCCTCTTTCTCTCGCTCTCCGGCGCCTCCGCTATCCCTTTGTATATCTCCCTCGCTTCCGGCTTCTCCTAGCAGGAGGACCACAGGCTCCCCGCCCGCTGAGTAGTCCAGGAGCGACTGGGACTTGAAGTGGTAGTACTGTGTCAGGGCTTAAGAGGAGCAAATGAAGTAGGAAAAGCGTGGAGAGTTAAAATTGTTCATCCGTGCGCCCCCCGATCAAACGGATAA